TTACTGAGAGCCAAAAGTGAGGATCGACTCGGGAAACACACACCAACAAAGCTGGGAAGTGCTTGGAAGTATATTACAAGATGAAAGATTTTATGGGAAAGTTTGGAAAAGTTTGAACTCCCCATACCAGATTTGTCCCATTTTTACTGGTGGGTAAAATACAGAAGTTACAAACACTGGTTACAAATTACAGCACATAAGCAAAAAATGTGTATGTGCAGGACAAGTGTCCGCATGTAAGACGATGCTTCAGCTAATTTTTTTAATTGAATCATAATTGATTACACGTATTTTGGGGGTTCAACATTGACATATGTTGATCAAATTAATATTATAAGCATATATATTATTACAAATCATACTTACTCTTTATGCCTCTTATCCAATCTCTTCCCAAACTCCTGTCCCTCCCACCTGCCACCTCTGATAACCCTAGATTTCTTCTCTACTTCTGAAAGAGTAATGGTTACTTTGTTGATTTGTTGCCTAGATGATCTGTCCAGAGATGAGAGAGGTGTGTTCAGGTCCCCCACTATTGCTGTACAACAGATGCTTCTTCTGTCACTCTGGAACAGAAGAGTGGAGAGAGACATCCAGTTCTTTTCTTTGATCTTTGCTGGTGACCTCCTTGTGTCAATGCACTCGAGCGGCTAGCAGGCCATCTGCGCGGTGGTTGTGGCATCTAGCCGCTTTTGCAGCAGCCATGGCTATTGTGGTGTCTGTGGTGGGATACCCTCATGGAAGTGGTATTTTTGGCATGCTCCTTGCCTGGATGCAGGAGGAGGGGTTGTCCCCACTCCATACCTCAGGACCCCGGGCGGGTCACGTGGCAGTGGTGGCATGACTGGATGTAGGAGAGAGGGTCAGTACCCAAGTCCATCTGTTTTTACATTCTAACTTGTTGTTGTGACCAGTTGGCTGGGAGGGGGAGAAGGGAAGAGGGAAGGAAATAGGGTGGGAGAAGGAGGAAGGAATGGGGGCATGGTTGAGGGCCATGACACCCCCTCATTCCTGCAGCGGAGACGAGGGGGCTTCCAGTGATGTCTTGGTCATTGCTGGGCTGAATGCAGATGTCAGGGGGGTGTGGCTGAAGCCGTCGGTCCTCCACCGCCCTGGCTTGGGAGACAAGGGGGCTTCCAGTGGTGGTTCAGCGGTCATCACTAGGCTGGTTGCAGATATCAAGAGGGGATGTGGATGAAGCCCTCAGTCCCCAAATGCCCTGGCACGGGAGTCTGGGGTGTTTCCTGTGGTGGCTCAGTGGTCATCGCGGGGTGGGTTGCAGGTGTCAGGGGGGATGGCTGAGGCCCCGGCCCTCCTCCATCCCTGACTTGGGAGCCCACGGGGTTCTGGTCGTTCTAGGTTTTATTAGGTGTTCTTTGGTGATGTGAGACCTTTATTAGTTAATATCAAATTTTGTCATTAGTCTGTGTGTATTTTGCTTCTTCTTTCAGGTCTATGTTGGATTATTTGCTGCTCCCACCCCTTAAAGTCTGCACTGGAACTAATCTGTTGTCCTTTGGTTACTTCTAAAATGGGGGAACTTCCTGTGGGGCCAGCACTTGAGCCCTTGGTTGAGCTAAATTGCTGCTTTGCCACTAATTCCCTGGAGAAGGCTTTTTGTGCAGCTCAGATTTTAATGGTTGACCTTGTATGTACTTCTGGGTCTTGTGAGATCCAGTACACCCGGGTTGTGTGGACACTTTGGTGTGGGCCTGAGTCTTTTCAGCAAACTGCTCTCCCTGCAGTTCTGTATTCCAGGCCAGTCTACACAGAGTGGGCCTGTGCTGATTGAAAAGCAGATCAGCTATCCATGCTGTGCCTCAATATTTCCCTGGTGTGCCTGTCTCTCGACTGC